ATAAATGAGTTTTATCCCAAGAATTTCTCGTCTTCTTTGTCACAAGAATATTTCAAACGCTTTCGCTTTCACAGTTCCAAGATGGCGGCGCCCTCAACACATGTGCACTCCTTCAAATCTAATGTCAAAACAGCGTTTCATAAGCTTAGAAAGTGCCCAAGGTTGTACAGAGGAGAGCATTGATAGAAATAGAAGGTGTATTTTCTTTGGCGGAATCCAACCAGACACGACAGAGGAGGCGATAACAGAATATTTCTCTGGATTTGGTGATGTTGAGGACGTGCAGATTGTAAAGTCGATCATGGGACGCTCTAGAAACTATGGATTTGTCTATTTTAAGAGTAAAAGAGTTGTTGAAGAAGTTCTTAGTGAGAAACATTCAATACAAGGGAATGCAATCAAGGTTGGGCGGAATACAAAGCACCGTGTAATTTATGTTGGAGGCTTGCCTTCCCATTTGACAGAAGCCAGACTCGAGAATTATTTCTCCAAATTTGGTCTTGTAGAAACCGTGAATTTTATTGATAATTCTAAACTTGAGTCCAAAACAGGTTATGCATTCATCACATTTAGCACTACAGAGGAAGCATATAAGGCAGTTGCAGAGGAAAGTCAGGTCATTGAGAACTGCATGGTGAAGGTCAAATTGAAAGAAAATGGAAATCGCATTGTGCAGGCTGAAGCGGTACAATCCAAGMAGATGAAAGTAGAAGGTTTGCTTTCTGAAACCATCACTGTCGAGAAATTGAGGGATTACTTTGAGACGTTTGGTGACCTGAAACAAATTAATCTGCTGATCAATTCCAAGACAAAAACTTGCGCTGCTATTGTTGCATTTCAAAAAACAGATGGTATCCAAAATGCACTTGAGAAAAAGAATCACCAAATTGATGGCTGTGTGGTGAAACTTTTAAGAATTCCAGAATCTACCAAAACTGGAGCAAGAGAGAGAACTTTGTTTCTGGAAAAGCTTGCTCCTGAAACAACTGAAAAGTCACTCATAGACTACTTTAGTCACTATGGGCAGTTAGACAAGGCTCATATTGTAAGGGACCATGATACTGGATTAAGCCAAAGATGTGGTTTGGTGAAATTCAGAAAATTCAGAAGTTTGGATTCATTTCAAAACATTTCAAAGCATGTTATAGATGGTTTTYCAGTCACAGCCAGGCGAAGTGGTCTTAAATTCCGTACTAAGTTTTTGTTGGATGGAAGTGGTTACAACCTTCATCTGTCAAATTCTTAGCAGATGATTTTAAATGTAAACAATAGAAGTTGGAAATATTTAATGCAGGCCATTTTCAAAAGAATTGTTGAATATTGTAAAATATCACCTTTCGATGTAGTTATGTATTAGAATATTGAATATTTTTCGAGGTAAATRCGATTGTCTTTGAAGCTTTAATTAATCAGGAATAATTACWCATTTGAAAGTTACATTTTTGTTTCCTTCTTTTTCTTTGGATAGTGGCTTTGATTTGGTGATATAAACTAGAATTTATGGTGTTATTTCAATAGTGTTCAATCATGTTAATTACTCGGGCTGCCCATAGAGATTCCAAGTCTGGTTTTATGCGCAGACTTTTCAAGTTACCACGTGTGCRTGATGATAAACCCTATATTGTGCCACATGTGACACCCTGATTAAGATGTCCTAAATGTAAATAGTTGAGACAGCAGTAGACTYGTACTTAAAGAAGTAGGAGAAAGTCAATTTGAAAACGACCGAAACTCAGCTAAAATCATGAAATAGAAATGATTGAAAGTTACAATGCTAAAGAGAAGGTTATTCTGAGCTAAAGAACCCTGGAAAGAAATCCCAACAAGTTAATTTCTGACTTTGCTGGAATATGAGACCACGACCTTTGGATTTGTACTAACGATGCTCTAACAGCTGAGCCACAAGGTCAGAATGGGAGCAGATCAGGGTCAAATAGATGTTGTGCTGCAGTAATAAAAATTTAATTACCAGTATAGGATTATATGAGTATGAAGACCATTTGACACTATGAAATACATCAAATAAAAATGATAGGAAGCTTTAGTATGTTAGGAGGTTATTCTAGGCAAAAGACCCACTTCCCAACATCTATTTCAGCCCAATCTGCTCCCAGTCTGACCTTGTAGCTCAGCTGCATGGTACAATATCTGATAGTGGAATAGGTCATGGGATCAAATCCCAGTGAGTTGGGAAATAAAATTTTCCCAATTTTGTTTTTCCAAAAATAACCTTCTCTAGCACTATAATTTTCTGTCGCTTCTTATTCATGTATTTCATAGCGGCGTAAAGTCCACATACTCCACTGAATTCAAATGAAACCCAAATGAACTCAAATCAATATGTGATGACATAAGAACACATTACTTACAGCTCTCAACAAAATGTTTGTGAACACCCCCACTCCCCTGTTAAAAAGTTGGGATTCTTAAAAAGAAGCACTGGCTGACAAGATGAGAGCTAACTTTGAAACAGGGGTGGGGGGGTATAAAATAGCAGCTAGATGTTTGAATATTTATGTCGAGAGCTGTAGCTTCTCCTAATTCTCTTCCCAGATCAAAGAAGCAGAGATCATATAAAAAATGCTCTCAGCCTACCAAGACTTATTTATCTTGTTCAGTATTTCTTTGTTACATTATCTTAGAAAATGAAACAAATGTTAGGAATGAATGTGATTTATTTGAAAAAGATGTGAAAACTCAGAGCCCACGGATGAAAATGCTTGCATACCGCTGACAATAGACGTGAAGACTCTGGGCTGGATATGTATTATTTATAATGCTAGACCCTCGAGTTATATATGACATAAAGGATTGACTGAAAAGACAGGAAGCCCAAAGACCAAGATTTTAATTAATCATTTGCGAGAACTGTTGTTTCCTTAACGCCTTGCCCTTTATCTGAAAAATCTTGAAAACGCTTCCATAAATGCCTAAGAGTGCTCTTAGTAAAAACGTGAAAAAATTAATGTGATTTTAGAGTGTACGCGGTCTTGGCCTTTCTGTGTCATTCTCAAACGCGACCAAACACATAGATAACATACTAGGTTGATTGGCAAAAAGGAAAAACTAAAGAGAAACTTAAGTCGGGCCCTTGTGGGTAGCCCAAATGTAGGTCTCTTTATGCAAAATTTCTCACTAACGTCAGGATACCTGTGGATAAGTTGTGGTTCCCAATCCTTCTCAGTTTCTTACATAACATGTGTAGTTGTGTCATCGCAAAAAACTTTTATAGAGGTTTTTCGCTGACGTCACGTATCCCGTAGCAACCGCGCTGGCCGCCATCTTGAAGGTCAGGTTGTACAGTAAACAAACGTAGTTTTAACGATGTCCGCGAAAAAATCTTACTTTTCCTCACTTGATCGACCTTCAAAAGACAGATATCTACAAAAAATAGCATCTATCAACAACATCGATCCTTATGAAGTTCAAAACAAGGACTGGAGCCCAAATGTTTGCGATTTTCCGGCAGTCACGTTCTTGGATCTCGTGTCATATCTAGTTCTGAAGTCAAGTGCTTATACTCTTGACCAATTCAAATCTTATAAAAGCCTCGAAGCCTATAACCAGTTTGTCTCTGGATGGGTTAAAGAAATTAAAGTAAAAAAGGTCCACGACAAGAGCTTGACGATCATAACTGGACGGGTGAGTTGTAGTACTTTTCAATGTTTTTTGTGAGTCACTCATTTGCCTTTACTGACATCGTTAACTACCTTGTTTTCACAAAAAGTTCTACTTTGATACTATATTT